ACGTCACCATTCAGGCAACATTGCTTCTGCTACCCAATCCCTCATGATGCGTGCCGAAAACTGCATTGCAGCTGGCGGAGGACACTTTGAACAATTACTATAAAGCAGGTACTGTATTTTAATACTTATGTAGTTGCCTTATAGCAGAATATGCAGTCAGTCATGTTACACCAGCGCTTGCCATTCATGTGTCATGTGTAGTGATGAGGCGTCTTTTACCCTGGACGGTGTAAATAATTTATGAAATGTGCATACATGGTCCCATAATAATCCACATGAGATAATGGAAACGAAATTCCAAAAGAGATTATCCGTGAATGTACGTATAATAAGTTATGTGGTCGGGTTATAGCGCAGCCATATTACGTCATCGCTCGCCAGTCATGTGTCATGTATAGTGCTTGGAAACCCTAAGGACAATTATGACATGGCGAGCGGGTATTTTGTACTTCAATTTTATGACTTCACATCACTCACAAGTTAGTTTGATGTTACGTACATTATTAACAATACAGAATCCAAATATTCCTGCCAGTTTTAATATGTATTTTGTAATCAACAAGTGTGTAACACCGGTCAAAGTTTGACACTTCTCTGGCCATTATCTCCGTAACCGTTCAACTTTTGACATAGGTGTTTTGGGTTATATCGGCATACTTTAACATAAGGAACACCCTCCTGAAGTTTGGTCCATTCCTCCAGGGACACCCTGTATATATATATGTACAATTGAATGCTATTTACAAATCTTTTAAGCAAAAACTCTCTTGAAGAGACCTCCTGGTCTATTGTCATTTTACAATAATTGGCCTCTGAGTAAAAATAAGTGCTTACTTCAGTATAAACCCTGTACATAGCAATTTTTGCATGCCCCACATTTGAAAATCTTTATATATTCTGAAGCGCCTTCTTTTTCTTCTTCTTCCATTTTAAATGTGGGCAGTCTAGCAACAAAGCCTCTCCCCCCTCTCTAATCAGTCTGCCCCCTCAGTTTCCTCCCAAATTCCTCCTTTCTTCCTTCTGTGTGATATTTTTACTAACCTGTTGTTCCTTTGGGTTAGGAAAGATGTTACACAAAAAATGTTAGTCTGACTGTGGGACTTCTTTTGTGTTCTTTCTTTCGTTTTAATATTCAGAACCTGCTTTGCAATCATCACTTCAAATATTTTTAAGACATGCCCATACCATTTTACTCTTTTACATATTAGTTTATCTTTAACTGTATTTATCTCTAAATTCTCTAACAAATTGTTTGTATATTTTTATATTTCTATCCCTCTCTTGCCCCCCCTCCATGTTCTTCCTTTTACCTTTCTTACAAATGCCATCTCAGCTGCTGTCAGTCTACAAATATCTGCCTTTACATATGCCCATGCTTCAGCTCTACAATTAATATGGAAAGCATTAATCTTTAAATATACACATTTTCCCTGTCTTCTGCACTTCTCATTTCCAAAGTACATCCCTAACTAACTGGTAAAAGATATTCTCCAATTTTTTTCTTTTGTGCAGTTTCTTCTTGTACTCTGCTGTCTACCAGTATTTTATTTTCTAAGTATTTTTACTCTCTACTCTTCATTTCATAATCATTTCATTTTGGTATATCTGCATTAAAATGACAACTGAACACAGCTGTGGCTTGAGGAACACTGGTTGAGGTAATCAAACAAGGACAATGATGACAACAACAAAAACATACCTGGGTAACCTGATCTGCAGACACACTGATAGGTTCCAACACCATCAACACATTCCATGTCTGCTGGGCAGACACCAGGTTCACATTCATTGATGTTGACCTCGCAGTTAGTACCAGTGAAGCCAGGGAAACACTGACACTCGTAACTTCCAACTGAATCTTTGCAAACCCCACCATTACGGCATGGATTTGAACTGCATTCCTTTAGATTCTGGAATGACAGAATGGATCACTTAAGGCAGAAGCTTTCAAGAAAGAAGAAAGATGTATATAATTCTTAGAGCAGCACTTATGAATTCTGAGATGCTGACACTCACAAGCTCACAATTCTGGCCACCAAAACCTCGCATGCACTGACAGGTGTAGCTGCCATATGTGTCAAAGCAACTGCCCTGGTTCAGGCATGGGTTGTTTTCACACTCGTTAATATTCTGCTCACATTTCATGCCCTTGTACCTGCAACCAAAAGCAGCATTACACAGATGTGTCCACAGTAAAAATAATATTTGCCTCTTCAGAGTTGGGTTTCTCAACGAATATTCCACTCCCCCGCAGTGGGTTCATGCATCATGAATATCAACATGGCTTAGTCCTTCACACTGATACTGCACGGTACTTCTCGCAGATGACAATGCATATCTTGAACACAGAACAGTTCAGCACTCACCCAGTGCGGCCGCAGAGGCAGGTGTAATTATTTATTCCATCCACACAGTTTCCTCCATGTAGGCAAGGATTTGGCAGGCATTCATTGATGTTAGTCTCACAGTCCTGTCCCGTGAAACCTGTGACCAGACAGATATTGTACCAGTGGTTAACGATAAATGAAAGTCCTAATTCCCTTCACACTGCACCAACTTACCTGGCAGGCAGGTGCATTCATAATTGGAGTCTAACACATGGCAACTGCCATTGTTTTGGCAGGGATTGCTCTCACAGAGGTGGGAGCTGATTTCCGTCTCGCAGTGGACGCCTGCAACAGACCACACATACATAGCCAGTATTAACACCAAGCTCACTGTGCACAAAATGTGGTTACTTTCACAGGTCAAAGAATGCAGTTCTCTTCATTATGTATAAGTACATGCATGGAGAAAAGGTTCTGAATGTAAAATGTTTTAAATTTTGTCAAAATACTAAGAATTTTAAATCAGATTTTCAACCCGTTATTAGTTCCTAGGCACACAGAAATATGAATTTATAAGATACTGGCTACACCATATTACTGTATGGTAATGAGATGAACTGGTCAGAGAGGACTGACATCAGCAGAGATGCATATCCATAGGACAGCAGCATACACCCTTTCAGACAGTAAAAAGAATGAAGAAATTCTGAGGTAACTATAGATTCCACACACAGCAGAATTTATAGAACTGTAGAGAATTGGAAAGAATAAGTTGACAGGACGGGCTGTCACACAATCCCAAGAAGTTCTTAAACATCAATCAAAAGGAAAATGGAGTTTGGGAAGACCTCTAAAATGATGAAAGGATTCTGTTTTGTAACATTAATAATAGGTCTCAGTAGGTCTACTATTGGAAATGATGATGATGATGACAAAGGAATAAAAATGGAAAGATTGGATTTTTTTTATCAATCATATAAAATAAAAATGAGCTGGAAGGTGAAAATAGAAACTGTATGTGCATGATTTACAGAATGGGGCCACACTCATCATGTACAGAATGTAGCCATATGCATCATAAACAGAATGTGGTAACATTCATCATGTACGCAATATGTATGTGGCTGAGTACCTGTGAATCTTCCTTCACAGAAACAGTGATAATTCCCAACTGCATCTTCTTCACAACGACCATTGTTTCTACAAGGGTTCCCATTGTTGCGCCTGCATGGGGAACCTGGGAAGATACATCATTACATTAAGTGAGCTCTTTATAGATAAGAAATGAGAACATAAACCAAGGGTATCAAACCATAAAGTGGCACAGTAAGCCCAGATATTCAGATTGTGGTTTTCTGAGTTGTGACACCATGTGCTCTTGTAAATGGATATTTCAGAAAAACATGCTCCCTCCATCTTCAGGGTCAAAGTGAATGTGGTAAGGTTACAGCCAGAAGACAGTATCTTCCTCCAAAACAATGGTATACACCTACAAGATTACACAGGTTCACAACCTAGAAGACTACAATCAGAACACTCTCCACTGTGAAAACCTCAAGTCTTATATCCACTGGATATGTTACAACAGAAATGGAACCAAACATTAAAAATGCAGGCAATTTCACCAATTTGTTCACACTCCTTAGGATTACAATTTCTGTCTATTGTATATATTATGTACATGTTGGGCCCATTGCCACATCTACAACAAACTGAAAATATACCTCAAACAAAATAAGGCCAACACCGACAGGTTAGAAAGTCAGATTGCGAGACAATCAGAAAGTGTGATGTGATGGAGTCGAGGCATCCTTCTGAAGAATACTGCTGTGACTTAAAAGCAATCCTAAGCTGGATATCCATCTCAGTCCATGATGCTGTCTTCCACATTTCAGAGTTCAAATTTCACCCAAATCTGCCAGGCTGTTTGCAAGAAGGAACAAGCAGACAGTCAAACAGACACACCGAACCCTCCATTGTCCAGTAACTTTCAACATGATGTGTAAATAACATACAGGTATGATGACAGAGCTTCTCATGGCAGCGCATGCTAAGAGAATATTAAGACAAGCATATCGCATCAGTCTTCAGGGTCAAAGAGTAAGCGAAGCAAGAAACTGGCAGAAGCAAGCAGCGGCTCTCTCTGAACTAGATGGTGTTATCACCCAGAAGACAGTAGTTTTGACAGTCACCGTCATGAGAACCTCAAATCGAACATAGTGCGATGTAAGGCCTTGTAGTGTGATAGGCTAGGAACTGACACTGTGAAGAAACCTGCTGCTGCCATCTTCAGGATCACCTTTGCTTACCCCAAAGATGAATGCAACAGGTACTTAAAAATGTTGGTACCTATTTACCAAACTACACAGCATCACATGCCAATCTTAACACCAAATTCAGATAATAGTTCAATGATTCATTACACTCATATGTCTGTACAGTACACTAATTAAATAAAAGAAATAAATGTTGTAATCTTACGAGCTGCATGCAGCCCAAAGACCCAATTTTACACAGCCATGGTATACATTATAACCCTTTCAATGCTAAACATTAAAGCTGTACCTGTACCTATGTATAATGGTATGCAGGGCCAAAGCAGAGGTAAGTTCCCACTTCAGCCTGATACTTTGCCCTTCAGTTATCAGTTTGCTACAGAAACATGCAGACTAGAATAAGCTAACTACAGCAGACCTTAACTAATTAGTTAACACAAACATTATGTCTAGGAAGAACTGAAAGTACAAGATGAAATAATTAAACCTTTAAGAAAAGAAACAGTACACAGAACAGGAAAAGAATGGGATTTTTAAAGGAACAAAAGCATTACAGGGTAAAGAATATACAGATATCTCTCAATTTAATTTGATTTTGTGTTAACAAGAACTCATATTATATTTAATTTGAATTTGAGTGAAGACTAAAGAAATTAAACTATTTGTCAAAACCAAAAATAAATCCATATTTTCCAATGAAAATTAAAGGCAGTGAAACCAGAGGAGTAACAAAAAGTTTGTGTTATATGATCAGTCTTAGGAATGCAACTGTTGCATAAGTCAGGGGATACCCATATTCAGTGCACATGCAACGTGCAAATGGAGGACAGTAATGCACCAAAAGGAGGTTAATATACAAAAGATAGTGAATGGAAGACTCTGATACAGTGCCATTAATTTGGAAATAAGTTACTGGCAATAAAGGAAAAGGGAGAAAAATAGTAAAAAATAAAAAGAACATTAGAAAGGAGATACATATGTAAGTGACTTTCATCTAGAATAACAACCAAAACCATAAAGCCTGGTGATACCAATGTCTGTATTTTATTATGACTTAAGTTAGAGAAAATCCTACAAAAACAGCTTCACGTTCATCATGCAATATCTGGAATCATAATGTGCACCTGCTCTCTAATCATTACTGAGTCAGCTTTATTAATGAAGTATATGAAATGGGAGGGCATTTTATGCTGTTTCCCATTACATTGGCAAAAATTAAATAAATATTGGGCTGTGCATCTTCACAAAATTTTAACACACAGTATGTGACAAAAATTTAGAAATTCTACAGAAATGAAGAGTTCTTCTGTGTTCTAGGATATGACTCTGAGGAATCTGTTGAAACTGAACCACTGTTTCAGAGGAAAATGTTGCCTCTTTCTTTATGATTGAAGCTAAGCAAGAAACCAGCATGAATCAGGCTGCAAGCAAAGCGACAATGTTCCTCTGAAACATGGATTCACTTTCATTGGACTACACAGCATTACATCCCCAGAAGAGAGAACTCTCCAGAGCCACTGCTTTGAGAACCTCAGAGCCTACAAGCAAAAGCAAGAGACATCTTGCTGATAATGGAATTTCTAAACAAGCTTAACTGGCAGGGCAGGGCTCCTTGACATATTGCACTTTCAAAATACAACAGAAGCACAGAAGAAACACAGACATACATCCATGCTCCAAGTGGCAACCAAACCCATATCCTGGTGTATGAGGGGTTGTAGACAATACATACTAATCTGAGCAGCCTTCATTTGTATTGATTTCTTAGTTTTTATGTATATGATGGAAAACTTGTAGGTTAATGTCTGAATAGAAAAGTTGTAAATTAAGTCCTTAATATGAAGAGCATGAAGCTGTAGGTGGTAAAGCTGGGTAGTTCTGTAGATGTCCACCAACATTTCAGGGGAATGCACTGCTTCCATCTTCAGAGTTAAGTAGTTAGTCAAGCAAAAAACCAGCATAAAGCAAGCATATCTGTCTTCCATCTGCTTCTTGCTGGTTTCTTGCTTGACTTATTCCTCAACCCTGATGATGGAGGTGATGCATTCCACTGGAATGTTAGTGGATTTCTACCAAACTACCTGGTGTTACAACCTGAAAGACTGTACACTTCACAATCACCATTGTAAAAAGTGTGAATCAAACAGATTCTTAACATGATTGGAAATGTCCATGTGTTTGATATGGTTTTATTCATAAAGCTCTTTTGGAAATAAAAATACTGGAAATATGAAAGAAATAGCTGTCACTTTGATTGTGTCCTTCTAGGTGATGATACCACATAGTCTTGTATGTGGTTACCAATATTTTGAAGGAATATACTGCCTCTATCATCATGGTAGATCTTCTACCCTGAAAATAGAAGTAGGGGTGATGTATCAGCATAGGGTAACAAAGAGGCCACCTGGTAACACCATGATTTCAGCGATGGCACATTTTACAACTCCTTTTATTGGCTTAGTGCTAAATGAAAGTTAATTTTTGCTGCTCTTTTGTTCACATCATGACCATTAACTGCAAGTCATCTAATTATGCCATGTGATGACATAAATGTGACTGTGAACTGCAACCCCTGACACTGTCATCTGATTTTGTAATAATTTCAGGCCCACAATGCAACCGCTGTTGCTAGACAACATATTTTTATTAATTTCTTTGACTCTTCATTTTAAGAATTAAGACACCAATGGCAGTTTCCGCCAGTGTCTAGGAACTGTGAGAAAGTTTAAGAAAGCTGAGGAGCTCTTTTTAAAGGGGGTGGAGGGACTTCTCACCGCCTGGGGTGGCATTTAGTCTTATGCTGCCCGTAAGGGAAGGCTGCACTTCAGGTTATAGTTTATAGTTCAAAAGCCAGTCATAATCCAGGCAAGTGAAGGAATTATAGATTTATGTTTCAGTCTCACCATTATTAATCTCGCAGTTGTTGCCAGAGTACCCGGCAGCACACTTACACTCGTACCGGTCAGGTAGGGAGATGCATTCTCCATGCAGCAGGCATGGTTTATTGCGGCAGTGATCCATTTTCGTGCCTGTTGGGACAGCACAACACTCTAAACACCTTGATACAACCCCTGTCTGATCATAGGACTCAACACTAATACACTGCTATTGGCACAAAACATGCTTTCCACATTTACAACTAGTGCTTGAGCAGAAAGAAATGATATTTCCCCTTCACTGCTTATCTGAAAGAAACAGAAAGTGACACATGGAAGGATGAGGAAGACATACATAAAGAAAAAAAATAAAGATAGAAAGAATGAGAGAGAGCGGGAGAAATGAAAACAAAGAAAAAAGGAAGGGAGCAGTGAAGGGGTTCACTTGCCACTCAGCACTCTTATGTTTAGAACAATATGTACTCAAACACTGACAGGCATTGTATCCAGGTTATCATGCTACAATGTGCAAAGTGATTTAACTACAGCTGTGTGTCAACACTAAGCCTTGACATAACAGCAAATCAACCAAAGCTTGTGACTTTGTGTTGCTTTGAACATTTGGGTGACACAGTGCAACAAACTGTTTGTTTGTTTGTTTTACTTTATACATTCGCTACATATCATTGAAGGTATGCTGACAAGAACATGCCAAAGTGCATTGCAGCAGAAAGGTACTAAAATTTGGAGGAATTTGCTGTCTCCAGCTTCAGGGTAGAAGAGTGAGCTTCATGGGTAAACAGAAGACAGGAGATGGGGCTACAGGAAGACCAATGGCAGATGTTCTTTTCTCACCTCTTTTTCCTCAATTCTCTGGCCTACCCTACCAGGGACCATTGGTCTCACAGTTACCCATTTTCAGACAATTCCATTCCTCCTGTCCACTGTATCTCTACCCAGCACTCCCCATGTCACTTGCACTTCCACCCCAAGCAAACTCCTCTGAAACTTTGTGCCTTCCTGCCAGAACACACAGTGTCACATCTCAGAAGACAAGTGATTTTCATGTTCACCACTGTGAGAATCTCATACCTCACATATTGATATGACGATTCAGAAAGATCCGGAAGTGGTCATGGTCTATTTCAAGATACTATCCAACTATTTCTTTGGAAGGACATATAAAAAGAAATCTTAGTAAGTAGCCTATAGCCAGACCTCTGGCTTTTGTAAAAACAATGATAAATATTTGGGTTGCATAAATGCAAGTACTTTCCTAATGAGGTCATTAATTTTTCAAGGGCGGCCATGTGGCATGAAGTTAGAGGTGTCATATTTCAACTGCAAATGACTTAGAACAATTCTAGCAGATGAATGATGTCACCATGTTATGTCAAGGCACTGAGGTCAGACCACATATCTTACTATTATATACTGTTACCATTTCTATTGCAAATTACTTAAGAAAAAACTGCAAAGTGAAATAGAATTTTGTACTACTGGAATTCTAGGAAATAGGCTACAGATTAAAATAGGGTTCCAGGCTTCCTGCAGGCTGGTTCCCAATATAATAATTCAATAAAAAATTTCCAGCACCAAGATTCTGCCTCCTACTGAACAAAACAGAGTCCAAGAAATATCTATATGAGAACAAACAATGCTGCTTTAATACTTCAGAGCAAAGTGGTAACTATATATACCACCTGCATTTATGCTAGCAAGTTTTCTATTTCCCCACACAGAGTATTTCTGGGTTTTGTATGACTGAGTGTGATAATCATATATGGGTCAGTGGTGAACTCTTTACGCACTAAACAATGATCTGAACTTACTCCGACAGATCGTCACAAGTTTCAAGACCTGGCACAACACACACAGTCCTCCACAATGAACTTGCCATCATTGCTGAGAGTGACAGAGCTGTGAGAAGTTCACTCAAAAGCGAAGTTGATGTTGGAATTTGCAGGAAACAGTGCACCACAAGTGCATTACAGACAACAAGGAGGGGTACACACAGAGACACTTGACCATCTACAGGAGACAATTTGCCACAAACATTCCAAAATGTGGATGACCAAAGGCTCTAAACTGCTGTATGGTTCCTTTCTCTCCCCATGAGATTTTTACTACTTTTCACAGATGAAGATCCAGATAAGAAAATCTCAGACAAGTTTTCAAATGTGAAACTGAAAGGAGAATTCTGAAGAGGAAGACTGGAATAAAAATGGGAACAGCAGGTTAAGAAGATGTCATGCAGAAGGAATGCCATGGTGGGAAAGAGTAGGTGAGGAGGGAGGTCTTTGGGAAGGCAGTGACAGACAACCCACATGGAAATGGAAATTCTGAAAGTAGCAGAACAACCAGTTGAAGGACTGTCACTTCGAGAGGTTAGCAAAAGTTCAAATAGCTTCACTGATGTACCTGCAGGAGGTCACACACCTTACAAACCGTACAAACACTAAAAGAAGTTTGCTGCTGCTGAAGGACAACATTTTCAGGGCAACCACATTTAAGGACTTCTTATGTCCTTTTACTGTTTCGCTATGTCAACACAATTATGTGTACAGATATACCATACACTATAATTTTACTATATCTTTTGGCCCTTTGGCCATCATCAAGCATTAACACAATTTTACATTTACCTTCAGCTCATTTGCTCTTCCTCCCTATAATGACCAAAGTTTTTATTTGGGAATAATTTCTTCTAGTTGTTGTATGCTAGTGTACTGTCCTGTATAGTCTCTTTGATAAACTGTTATAATTAAAAACAATAAAATGTTAATCTTAAGACGTCAAATTGTCTTATATTTTTCAGCTCTACACGATTTATGGATGTTGAATAATGCAGTTTTTATTGTGTCTTGCTGGTCATTGTGGGCTTTGTGTCTTCCTTCCTCTGAATAATCTCATGATGGTGTTTTCTTTTCTGTTGTACACGCATGCTCGAATGTGATGTTTCTGTGTTCTTTAATGTATTGTTATACTGGCCATTATTCTTGTCTTTTGCTTGTTCCTGTAGGTGTAACCTTCTTATGTCGGGTGCTGTGTCCGTGACTAGTGCCCTTCTATTTCATTACGTACCTTTCAAAGACAAATCCTTGATTTTAATCACATATATGTTTTACGTCAAGAACAGCTAATGCAGCCATTGATATATTATGGGGAGCCAGTGCTCCTCACATGCACAAAGGGACAAAGAATGTGTTAAGAAAAATCTAAACTGAGCGCAGCTGGTCTTGAACATGAGACCACAGGAGTCGAGTGGGTGACGTAACCCTCGACCACAACAGACTAACAATTCAGAAAGATCACATTGAGAACCAAACCTGTAGGACAAAAAGGTGCTCAAGCTTATTAATTTTACTAACCAAGGGTTTCTGGCTTACAAAAACAACAGTGACAAACAAAATCATTCAGCCATGAAGCAAAGCTACAAAAACTAGAAGCAAACATTCAAGTATTGACAACAAAAACTTAACAATCAAAAGCATTAATACTTACCTTCACGCGCTGCCTAACTTCAACTGTGATTTAGAATGTAAGCTATTACTGAGCAACTTTACAATATGGTCACTATACTTACATGTTGATGAATTTGTATTTTATTTAGTTAATATCCCTATCACAGTTCAGATATTTGGGAACGATGATAACAAATCAAAACCTGATTCAGGAGGAAATTAAGAGGTGATTGAACTCGGGTAATGGTTGCTACCATTCAGTCCAGAACCATTTGTCTTCCAGTCTGCCGTCCAAAAACATAGAAATTAGAATATACAAAACTATAATTTTACCTGTGGTTCTGTATGGGTGTGAAACTTTGTCTCTGACATTAAAGGAGGAACATAGACTGAGGGTGTTTGAGAAGGGTGTTGAGGAGAATATTTGGACCGAAGAGAGATGAAGTGACAGGAGGCTGGAGAAAACTGGATAATGAGGAGCTTCATAATTTGTACTCTTCTCCAAGTATAATTAGAATGATCAAGTCAAGGAGGATGAGGTGGGTAGGGCATGTAGCATGAATGCATATAGGATAGGATAGTGGTGGGAAAGCCAGAAGGAAAGAGACCACTAGGAAGACCAAGACATAGGTAGGTGAATAATATTGAAATGGATCTTAAAGAGAGATGGATGGTATGGACTGGATTGATCTGGCTCATGATAGGGACCAGTGAAGTGTTCTTGTGTACACGGTAATGAACCTTCAGGTTTCATAAAATGCTGGGAAATTCTTGAGTAGCTGCAGAATTGGCGTCTCATCAAGAAGGGCTCAGCTCAATGAGTAAGTAAGTAATATGTCTATAATGGCCACAGACATGAATTTCCATGGACAATGAGGATATCCTTAAAGGTTCCCACTGCCTGGCTTCAGCTCCCTCTGGCCTATACCAGCCCAAAGCTCTTGTCCGTACAGCTACCAATAGTTGTGCGGACAGAGTGGCTGGAGGGGGAAGCAAAACAGGTCAAGAGAGATGCAAAGGGAGACAATCCATGGGATTTCTTTTCATGTTCTTACAAAAAGTTCTGAACTACCTGCGTCTTTTAACCTAAGACTCAATTTGAGTCTTACTCAGAGCTGGCACAGCTGAAGATCATGTTATTGGCCCTATGTTGTGTTTTCTTTGCACGGATACAATAAATGCACATCACATTTGTAAATTTGGCTCTTTGGCTCTGTCCTCTGGTAAAAGGAGGGGGGTACCTACACTGTGGAACTGCATGGATGGAGCTGATCACTGTCACTAGGCAATGGAAGAGATGTAAAGCCAGTCCTATGAGCAAAATGGGGGTTTAAACCTCCATGGGAAAGAGCACTATGTAATTAATCATGGATCATGGCATGCCAACCAGAAAGAGTAAGAAGTAATAAAAAGGTAGACCAAAATTGTTTGCCAGGAAACACTATGATAAGGACTACCTTTATCTAACCCCACTCAATTCTTACCCCTTCAATTTTAAAGAGGAGGAAGGGAATAGGGGGAGGGAGGGGAGAGAGATAAAGAGAGGGAGAGAAATCTAGCCTTAAAATGCTTACGTTTCATTTTTCACGCAATGAACAATGTCTGAACTAAGGCTAGTGATGTGAATATTCAAACACACCTAATGTAATTGGTTGCCATATTATACAGACATACCGATGTTGCATTATCTACACCGGGTTGTCCAACGTCAAACCAACGAGGGGCCACACTGTACTTTGGTACCTACCTGTGAGCTTCACTATAAGAAATCAATTATTTCCAAAATGTTGATACAAATATCTGCCCTGAAATGATTTGACCTATGAAGCACAAGCACTCAAATAAAAACTGAACTCACAGAGTTCAAAAACAATTATTTATATTAAATGCTGGGAGATCAACTGCGCTTAAAAATCAGCTTATATCGCATATGATCTTGGAGTCAGGGTAATTACATACCTTGCCAAGTTATATATTGTCGTGTCTATGGTGGTATACGTGACAAAAATAACAGGTTCTAGTTTGAATGATTGGACTTATTAGCATTTTGGTTACACTCTCTCTCTCTCTTAATTACACTTAATACAGCACTATCTCTGATTTACACAATTTACAGTACACTGTTGGACATGCGCTAGGACTGTCCATCTTCACTAGTCATCTCCTGGCAATGGATCTCAACACTGAAACTAGCGCTTCAACTCACTATGAAATCTTCTCGTCATTTCGTCTTCAATCATTCTGTACTCCTCTGTCCTAATCTAAGCTCAATCTTCATAATTCACTAAGGACACACTCCATTCTCGTCCTTGTGCTCTCAACCACTGAATCCTCCTGGACTCGTAACTACACTGCACTGCACTGCACTGCACTATGCACTAGTCTTCATGGGTTCAGAACATGGGAACTATAACAGGCTCACTGAATCACACACTCCAAATATTACATATAAATAATGTCTTCTAATCACACGTTAAGTCTTCATAGGCCGACTTCTAGTTCTTCTGGTTCTCCTTGCTTGCTTGTTCGTGTGCTTCTGCCGCTATTATTTGTAACTTGTAACAGCTTTACTTATATAGTCAAGGAACGGACACACATCACAGGAAACACATGTCATGTGACCACCACCCACCACTGCATGACATCAACATGGACGTGGAAAACACATCCTCCTCTATTGTTGCATGCATGTATTTTGGGTGTGGTCTAGAGATGACGTCCTTTTATTGTTGCGTGTTGGAACACAATTAAAGAGCTGTGGCCTGGCAATGGGTATTCATGTTACAATATTAAGTACTGGATGAAACCAAATGAAAATTACATAAAATATTTAGTAAACATTTTTCATAAGATTTTTAATAAGATTCACAGAGGAGGAAAGAGCTAAAATATATTTGGGGATTTTTTATGGTATGCAGCCTGTTGAACACACAATATAATAAACTGATTGATCTCTTGATATATTCAATTAAATCCCTTATTATATATGACAAAATCAATGTGATGTGTGATGGCGTAAAGACTCCTAAATGCTTGTATTTTCAGGACTCGAAGGACGTTCCTGCAGGTCACACTAAATCAAATGGTGAGCTTCATGCAGTAATGTGCTACCAACAAGAGAGCTTTGACCTTGACCACACTCTGGTCCACTGGATATGTTGCTGAAGATAAAAACCATGAACGTAACTGACCAATCTGGAACATTCAGTTGACCACACTGCAGTATGATCAGGTATCATTACTTACAACTGTTGATGGTATGAGGGCAGGGCCCCCATTCCACATTGTGAGCTTGCACCAGTGGTCTGCTGAACACAATACTTGGACCTTCCAGTAAACATCCAGTGAAGCCCTTTCCAACAATGAGAACTGAGTTCTCATTTGATAACTCAGGGTGGTTCAGGACCTCAGAATTGTAGGTTGAATTGGCAACAACCTGCACAGATACATTTACATATTTGACTGAAGAATCTCCTGCTCAAAATATTTAAAAAAAAAAAAATCAGGACCCATAAGTGGGTAATCATTACTTTGACTAACAATTTCAGATCAGATTCAGTTTAGTATACATGGAAATCACGTTCTGGTATATCCGAAGCTGAATTTGGTCCACCAACATATCCCAAATAAAAGTCTTCATATGTATAATAGGGGGAGTCTACATGTCTACATGTAGAGGGACAGCATTTTCAACATCTCCTGTGATCTGTGAATTGTAACTACTTCATTCTGAAAGTTATCGGCCAAGAGGCATATTGATTCATCAGCAAAATTCGTATCTGCCTCGCAGCCGGCAGTGCACCGGTCGCCGTGAACCAGTCAAAAAAGTAAGAACTTACCTGTATATATTAAACCTTCTTATTAAGAGCTGTTACACCATGGGAACTTACCGTTGCATCTCAGTGAACACAAGATTTTAATCCTTAGCTGCTACCATTCCAACTAACCTGAGAGTGCCCCATGACAGACAGCGTCAGGTTTCCAAGCCGATACAGCAAGTTCACAGTATGCCAGTTATTATCCAGGAACCGGACATTGAGTTGTGTGTCAAAATTCTGTCCCTGGACCATTACCGAGAACAGCAACCTGTCTGTCTGTACGTCCAGAGAGATTGAGTTTCCACCATTTGTCTGAGAGAATAATTCCCCCCCAACACACGTCCGAAAACTGAGTCCTGTATGTCCATGGAGAGAGATTGGTGAGAACAGTCGGACATATGATGAGCCATTGAAGAAACCTTCACTTTGCTGGGCACTGATGGTGTTCCGAGTGTGAAGAAGTAAGGCCACAGAGATTAGGCATGCCGAAGCTGTAACAAAACAACACACAAAATGTTCAGAATTCATCAAATATCTTAAATGCTTTTGTCTCCTCAAATGACATCATTCCTGTACTCTTATTTTGCAACATAACTCAAATTATTTGGATTTGCATTCTGTGCACATAATTTTCACACAGTTTAAATGAGGTCACCTGTAAGAAGTGACAATAAACGAAGTTGTGGTTTGGACACCGGATTTATTAACCACTTTAACACATAATTCGTAAATACAATTAATTATAGCATCATTGCTGACCTCCACAATTTACAGATCACTGTCACACATGCTAAGTCTTTTCTAGCCCACAATGTCTTCACTAGTAGTTGCCTGGCAACGGCTTCTAACAATGGCTGTTCCTCTGCTTCTGGTCTCAGTTCTTCTTTGAACAGCGGCTCCCTTCCAATTGAACTATTCTTCAAAGTCAAAAGTCACAGTCACATTGCAACTGACGGTCAGTCAGTCAGTAAGTCTTGGTGTTGAGCTCCATCTCGGGCCCATGACCAGATATTTATTGCTGTTTGACAGTTACAGTCTTGTTTTTTGCGGGGCGCCCTCTCTGACGAGAGGACGGGTCTGTCATTTGTACATGCTGCTGGCCTTTTCCAGCGCAGTCTTTCTCGGGTCCCAGTCCCTCGGGACTCACGACCATATTGCACTGTCTCAGATTTGAGACTTCCCTTTCCATCGCCTCCTATGACTCGCAGGGTCACGGTGGAGGTATTCGACCCCGTCTTCATTCCCCCATACGTCACCATTGCGTTGTGCTTAAGTAGGTACATGGCCGAATTTTATGATAATCGGTTACTTAGACCGCACGTTGTTTGACGTAGTCACGCTATTTACACGTCTCTCCTCGTACACGAACCTGATTTCGTATTTCTCCAAAGACAATGAATTCGGTGCACGGTTAATTTTGTTTAATATAATTCAAGTTATGTTTGTGTGAGAATCATAATTAAAATACAGATAATGAGACAACCCGGCGCTACATATCACGCGGAAGTGTGTTAAACGGGATCCAGTAATGGTCACCATACTGTAAAGTTGTCTCACCGAACATGGCCTTCGCTCCCCGCCTACTTATATCAGTGCCGAAAGGTTTTATCTCAATATACTCCGCAAAAACAAATAAAGCTGAAGATCTGGGCGGAGAGGAATAACGCCAATATTATCGATTGTCTAGAGTAGATTTTATTCTCGCAACTTCTCTAAGACACGAGTCGTAGGAAGTTACTACAAGCGACATGCATTCGCAGTTACACTGCAACAGAACATGGCATGATAAAAATATATAATTGGCAGTCCTTACATCACATGACAATAGCGATCCTACGGCAATAAATATTACTACATTACTGAAGAACACATTATGTAAAGTGAGGTAAAGTTGTTCTTGTGCTTAACTAATTAAGCACGACGCCATGAAGACGTATGGGGGAGTGGATGTATAGATCCACATTTTCCTGACCTCGGCACTAGTTTGAGGTGAGTGATCACCTTCACGGCCCGGTCGCTTTACCCCCGGTACAAATTCGATAGGAGGCTAGGTTGGCCCTAGAGCCGGTCTGGACGACATGAAAAAGAGAAAATTCTTGTCCCTACCGGGACTCGAACTCCGACTCTTCGGTCGTCCAGTCCGTAGCCAGTCGCTCGCTATACCGACTGCGCTATCCAGACTCATAAAGAAGAAAACATTGACGTAAACTGAGTTAACCTAAATTCGCCTAACTGCTACTAATGATAACAATACGGACGTAGCTGCACGAAATTGTACCCTCCACCCAAAATCATCTGCCCTCATCTCATGCTACCGTCTTCTGCAAATTAACAGCAGTTCTTATTACGCATGGACAAGTTTGCTACTCAACTGTTGACACGGATTATTACTACAAGCAGTTGTTTCTATTACACAGTGTTGGAATTTTATCTGATATTGGTTACGATAGGCTTGTGTTTCTCTTCACTTATCGACGACGTAGCATATCTGAAATCGATATACTGTTAACTAAACTGTGGGACGAGAAAGTTCTAGTGATGCACAGGAAAAGTTTTCAGTATGCGAAACGTGTTTCATTTTTATGAAAATAATTTCTCGAGTCACGCTTTCATATCCCAGAGGCGATGGGAGAATAAGAAACGACTGGAAATTGAGCACGGAGGAAGTGATGTGCTTTAGTCAAATTAATGTATCACTTTCACCCATTGTTCATCCCATTTTCCTCTAGAGTATTTTACGGGGGCAGACACCATCAAATTAGAGAAACGACTGGAATGCTGAGCACGCATTTTAAAAAGCAGTATTAGCAATCTGGCAAATTTACACAATTCAAATCACGAAGCGTGTGACGGCAAGTCACGACGACATCGTTCACGTGCATTCTCAAATCTCTTGTGTACCACGCAATGTAGAAAAAGATCCTGTGTCCATTTCACGCGGATGACACGCGTTCTGCTCGTGCTATGCAGTCTTGACTAACAGCCAGGTCGCTAAACTAACGAAGGTAGAGTTAATCTTGTATCTGTGCTTAATTAATTAAGCATTAGGTCATGAATATATACGAGGGAGTGGAGGTATAGCTCCACCATTATTGACCTCGGCACTAGATGGAGGTGAGTGGTCAGCTTCATGCCACGGCCGCTTTATTCCCAGGGAAATCGCCCCCGGTACCCATTGGATAGGCCCCAGAGCCGGTCTAAACGCTGTGTCGAAGAGCAAAATCCTGCCATGCAGGGAATCGAACCTGGGCCGTCCAGCCTGTAGCCCGTCGTTATACTGACTCATAAATTAATGAATAATAGAAATAAAGACACAGATTCAGAGCACTTTTGCTTCTCACTCGAATTGACTGTTCCAAGATAACGCGTCTATGGTTAACTTAACTACGCTAAGAGCCGAGAGAGCGCAGTCGGTACAGCGACTCGCTAAGGGCTGGACGATCGAGGGGTCGGAGTTCGAGTCCCGGCAGGGCCAAGAATTTTCACTTCTCCATGTCGTCAAGACCGACTTTGGGGTCCACCCAACCTCCTATCTACTGGGTACCAGGGTTCTTTCCCCGGTGGTAAAGTGGCCTGGGTGTGAAGCTGACCACTCACCTCGGTGCCGAGGTCAAGAAAATGTGGATTATACACCCACTCCCCCATACTCCTTCGTGGTGTAGTTCTTAATTAGTTAAGCACAGGGACAAATTTACTTTACGAGCCGAAAGATCGCGAGTTCGATTCCTGTTGAGGTCATCGGATTTTTCAATTGACCTAATAATTCCAGCCACACTATGGCCCTGGGGTCGACTCAGCCTCTAACAGAAATGAGTACCAGGAATCTTCCTGGGGGTAAAGGCCGGCCGGCAAGTAAGGCTGACTTCACCGCCATCTTTGAGGCCACTGTCTAGAAAATGTGGGACCCTCGACGTGTCAGAACTCTGTGGGCCTCCACGGCCTGTTACAGGAATAGCTTCACTTTCTCCTATATGTAGCGTGTATGAGTATATGTGACACGAAGACGCCAAGACTACTACTGTTGTCACCAACAAGGGGACGCAGACTATACACATCCATGGAGGCGGTCATTACTTGGCGAAAGAGAAGGATAAGAACAGAGACGGCAGACGAAGCATTATCCGCTCAACGTGACTCAAGTTTACCAGTTAACGCCAGACTTACCGATGTACCTAACCATCCAGCCATGAAGGTGCACATAGGACGGAATTCAAGTACTTCAACCCTTTAAAGGCCAGTGGTCACTATATGCGCCATCTGCTTTACCATACCAAAACTCTGCATTCTGCCCACAGAGTGTATCTGTGTGTTCCGTACGGTTCTCACAGCAAACAGCGACTGTTTCCCTAAACAGCATTAACCTGTTGGGCTTTGTAGCGGAGATGTAGTGTTTCCTGTGAGGTACGGACTGTAGGTTCATATAAACGAAGTAGAAGAAATCCAGTCCTCAAAGACTAACATCATTTATGTTATCCGTTTACGAGTCCTACCAACAATTTTATTATTTTTAGCCTTCGCTATAAAAAGCTAAAAATGGTATAAAATTGCGTTAACACAAAATTTGGGGACTCTAAATAACATACGTCGAGGGAATCCCTGTAGTTACTTTCTCTGTCACTTGACTGCTCAAGTGCTCTTGCCACTGATGATGTGTTTTATAGACACTGAACTACAACTCTTAATCTCAAATGCCAAGCGATAATTAAATACTGATTAGAAGCTAAGCATGCATAAGCCTCTGGCATCGCCATATGTTATACGTCTCAACCATCATTTTGTGACCTTAAACAGCGTTATCAAATTAACTGAATCACAAGCAAGTCACAATGTTGTAGTCATTCAGAACATAGAAATGACTATTTTCGCTCTGCATCTAGGACAATGCGTAGTGCTTAATTAGTTAAGCAAAGGGACAGCTTTACCCCCCCCCCTTGGCACTACAGCCCCAGTGGGCCTAGGCCTACCTCCATGAACTCCGTTCACTTCGGTTTTACTAGATCTTACACATTCGGTAGGACTCCTTGGGCGAGTGATCAGCTCGTCGCAAGGCCTCTACCTGTACACAAACACAGAAAAACGCACACACACAAACTAAACATCCATGCCCTGAATGGGATTCGAACCCACAATCCCGGTTTCCAAGCGAGCGAAGACAGTACATGCCTTAGACCGCTCGGCTACAGTGACCGGCCAGGGACAACTTTACCTTTTCTTTTACTTTTGTAGGTTACACAATGTCGCATGGCAAGATGAAATTGACTGATGAATTAGAAGAGTGCGGAAGGAACTGGTCATGAATCTATTATAATGAATCGACTTTGCATTTACCTAAAAGGAAAGCATGAATTACCTCATTCATATTGTTCGGTTTCAGGGCTCAGAATAGACTTGGAACATCTCGACAATGAAGCAAGAGTCCTAACCTCAAAACAGTGACGTTAGGCAAAGAAGAAAGAACAAGATCATGACGGTGATAAACATCCGTGTAACA